AGTAAGTAGTTCTCCTAATTGGTAGAACCCTAACAAATTTTACAAATAAACCTAATTTTAGAACTTTTAGATTTACTTAAAAATTGTGAAAATAGTATAGACAGTTCCATATTCCCCACACCTGGTTCCCCCTATTATTAACATCTAACATTAATACGGTACATTTGTCACAACTAATGAATATAATACATTGTTATTAACCAAAGTTCATATTTCATTCAGATTTTCCTAGTTTTTACCTAGTATCTGTTTTCTGTTCCAGAGACCCACCCAGAGTATTGCAATATATTTAGCAATTATAGTTGGTTGAATAGTGTCCTTTCCAAAATTCATGTCCACCTGGATCTTTAAGAATGTGACTTTATTTGAATACAAGGTATTTGCTGATGTAATCACTTAAGAATCTTGGGATGAAATCATCCTGGATTCAGAAGATGCCCTAAAATCCACTGAGTCTTTATTAAGAAGGGAAGAAGACACAGAGAAACATAGGGAAGAGGATGATATGAAGATGGAGAGATTGAAGTGATACGTCTATAAGCCATGGAATGCCAAGGATGCTGGCAACCACCAGAAGCTAGGAGAGAGGCATGAGAAAGACTCTCCCTCAGAGCCTCCAGAAGGAACCAACCCTGCGGACATATTTGTTCAGACTTCTGGCCTCCTGAATTGAGAGAATACATTTCTGTTGTTTTAAGCCAGAAGGCTGAGGTAATTTGTTATGCAAATACTGGGAAACTAATACCTAGTCATGTCTCGTTAGGCTCCTCTTGATTCTGTTTCTCACCTCTGTCTTGTTTTTGACATCCAAGACATCCTGTCTTGTTTCAGGAAGACACATCAGGTATTTTGTAGAACATTTCTAAGTTGGGATTTATCTGATGTTTTTCTCATGTTTAGGCTGAAGTTATATGTTCTTGGGAGGAAAGCAACAGATGTAAAGTGCCATTTTCATCATTTCTTATCAAGGGTACATACTATGAGCATGACTTAGCATAGTTGATGTTAATCTTGGTCACCTGGCTGAGGTCAGATTTCATGACTATGAAGTTGTTCTTTTTCTCTCTTTACATACTGTAATCTTTGGAAGGAAGTCACAATGCAGACAATAAGGGGTGCTGAGCCTCAACCCTTCTTAAATGTAATTACCTTAAATATGTCCTCTACCTACACTGAGCAGCATATCAGATGTAAAAGGTTTTGCTTCAACCATTAAATATGATTTAAGAAATGCATAACGAGTAGGATAATCTCTTACATTTACTACTGTTTACCTATTCTGATGTTCTCTTTTCCTTTCTGATGCTCCAAGCCTTTGTGAACATTTTCTTTCTACTTGGAGAACTTCCTTTATCCATTCTTTATAGGTAAGTCTGAAAAATCTTAGTTCGGCTTCACCCAAGAATGTCGTTTCCCCTTCATTCTGGAAGGGTATTTTTTGCAGGACTTAGAATTCAAGGTTGACAGCATTTGCTTTCAGTACTTGGAAAAATGTTATGCCACTTCCATCTGGCCTCCAGGGTTTCAGATAAGAAATCTGCTGTCATTGGAATTGGTGTTCCGTATAAGAAAGCCATTGCTTCTCTCTGAATACTTTAAGGTTTTTTTCTTTGTCTTTAATCTTTACAAGTTTAATTACACTGTTGTGCCAAGGATTTCCTTTGGTTTGTCTTATTTGGGTTCACTTATTTTCTGGAATATGTCGGTTTACACCTTTTGCTAATTTGGAATGTTATCAGCCATTGTTTATTCAAATACTTTTTCCGTTCCTCTCTGTTTTCTCTACTTTCGGTGCTGCAATGATGCGAATGTTAGCTTTCTTATTATAGTCCATGGATCCCTGAGACTATATTCATTCTTTTAGGTCTGTCTTCTTTGTTCAGAATAAATAATGCTAGTGATACGTCCTCAAGTTTACTGATTATATCCTCTGTCAATTCCACTCTACTATTGAGCCCAGCGAGCGAGTTTTTATTTTAGTGATTCTATTTTTCAGTTCTATAATTTTCATTACATTCTCTTTATAACTTCTATTTGTTTGCTGAGGTTTTCTATTTTTTCATTTTATTCAAGAGAATCATAGTTGCTTGTTGAAGCCTTTTTTTTTTCCCTTTGAGATGGCTACTGTAAAATTCTTGTCAGATTAATTCAGACATCTGATTCCATTTAGCACCAGCATTTGTCAATTGTCTTTTCTCATTCCTATTGTGATTTTCCTGGGTTTAGGTATAATGAATGATTCTGTATCATACTGCAGACACTTTTGATATTATGAGACTCTGGATCTTATTTAATCATCATTTTTGGCAGGCAGTCCTGTTGAAGTATAGCACAAGGTCTGGGTGGGTGTGTATGTTCAGCTTTTTGCTGGGCCCCACTGACACCTGCCCAGTGAAAGTGGGACACCAACTGGCACCGTTCTGCTGCCTCTGATTGAGGGTGTAAGATCAGCCGCCTGCTGGGCTCTGCTGCCACCAGGGCGGGGAAACAGAAGGCTGCCTCAAGCTGCTTTGCTGCTGCTGGGTGAGGGTAAAGCTCAGCTTATCGTTGGGCCATACTGACTCTGAGGGTGGGGTGAAGCTGGGGGATACTGTCTGCCTCGCACAGACTCGTCAGGTCTCCCCGCTGCTGGGTGGAGGTGCTGACACTAACGTGGCTGGGAACTGGATCACTAAGGGATTCCGCTGGGTGGGGCATGCAGATCAGTGGCCTGCTTGGTCCCACTGAGACCACAGGCGTGATGGTGTGCTCTTCCAGTTCCTGTTTGGTTGGAGTAGGGTAGGTACTGCCAGAATGGTGCTTTGTGGTTAGACCACCCTCTCCCCAGTCCTTTGGCTGGGAGCAGGCTCTTCTTGGAACTCTTTTATTGTCTGCGTCTGTGCCACGTTGGAGGTTTCTGCAGTTCCTTCCTGGATATGTGGGAGGCAATAAGGAAACCCAAGAATTCACCACCATGTTGTTTCAGAGGCCCGATGTCCTTAGGTGGTCAGCACTCGTTTTTCTACCTTTCGGGGTCTTCCTACACTTGTCGTTAGGTTATGTCCAAGGGTTTTCAGTCCTAAGAGGGAGGATCTGGGAGAAGGAGACTTCTCTCTTCTTTTTTTTACTTAAACAGAACAGCCTCTAGTGAAACAGGCAAAAATGGGCCACTTTACAACTAAACTGAAATTGGCCACAGTTCTAACTGGTGAAGAAAATGGACTGGACAAAATCTGTTGAAGAAGTTCATACAAAGAATTTGCATCTGTCTGCAGTCACTGATTCTGACTTACTTTTGCCAGAAACATTTTCATTCTACAAAAGGTCTACATGACAGCACAGAGGCAGTTTGTCATGCATGTGACTAGGAATCTATTGTGTGTTCAAATCCCCCCAGTGGAATTTCAAGTCTTTCTATTACCGTCTAGTGGTAACTACTTATGGTGTCTTCACAGTGAAGAGAAGTAAGTTTTGGGGGCTCCTGTTGGCCCCTATTATTTTCTTTTTTTATATAGTACATACATAATATGCACATATCCTACATAAAAACACTCGAAGAATTTTCACAAAGTGAACATACCATGTAACCAGCCCCCACAGTCTAAAAAAAGAACTTCTTAGAAGCCACTATCATGGCTTCTTGGTCACTATCCCTTCCACCCGTACAGAAAGCCACTAACCTGGCTTCTAATACTACAGGTTACTTCTATTGGCTACTCCTGTTTTTTTTTTTTTTTTTTTTAACTGAAATATTTCTATCAAGTTAGTCGATTCTTACACGTATGAAATATAATATAGAAAGATTCTTCATACTCTTTGCCCACTTTTCCCCAAATGGTAACAAAAATACAGTATAATGCTGGTTAGAATCCTGACATTGATACGATCCACCCATCTTCTTTAGATTTCCCATTTTACATGTACTCATTTGTATGCTTGTGTGTATTAAGTTCAGTACAGCTTGTACAGGTTCTTATCTACCACCAGAGTCAAGATACTGAGCAGCTCCAATATCTCCAGGTCCTTGTGTCACCCTTTTATGACCATACCCATCTCTCTCCCATGATCTGCCCTCCCCAACTTTTGGCAACTGCTAATCTACCCTCCATTTCTAAAATTTTGTCATTTCAAAATGTCATATAAATGGAGTGTTACGGTATGTAACCTTTCTCAACTGGCTTGTTCCCACCCTCAACATGGGTACTCCTTTTTAGTATGATTGGAAAGCTTCTCTTTAAGAACCTCCATCAGTTTTACTAGAAACCCTCAAACTGTACCTGCTGTCTAATGGACAGATTTAAACTAGTGCTTCTCATCTTTTAAAAACCTCAGGGCAAATGTTTATCCTTTAATAAGTATGCCTAGACAAAAATTATCCTGATTTATGGTGTTTCAAGATGACTTAGGGAAAATGAGGAAAGGATTTTTTTTTTTTTGTAAATAGAATTCTGATCTCAAGATTAATTAGCAGTAGGTTTTAAGAAAGACAACAGCAATGATGCCCGTTCAACTACATAAGCTTTATGTATAGGCTTTATATATAGGCATGTTGAAGCCCAGTGAAGCCTGGAATGGTATTCTAGGTATCTATAAAACTAACTTGCTATATTTTTTATTCTAATAAAAAGTAAACTCATTGAGTAAATGAAACCACCAAGATAGAAGATATCTACTAAGAATT